GCAGAGTTCAGAAGAAGGCTTCAGGTTCCCTTGGAACTGGAGTTAAGGACGGTTTGTAGCTGCCATGTGGGTGCTAGGAATCGAACGCAGGTCCTCTGCAAGAGCAGTCAGTGTTCTTAACTGCTGAGCCATCTCTCCAGCCCCAGCAATCTTTTTAAATGAGATTGTGTGAGTTTCTGAAGGACTCAGATTGGTTTCAAATGAACTCAGAGGCGTTATATTATTGATAGAAGAAATAGTTAACATGTTATTGTTGTATATTATATAATATGTATATCATATATAATGTATTATTAATGTATATTAATGTCACATTTAGGAGAAGCAGAATGAGACTCTGTTATGATATTTCACTGAAGTTAAATATTTATAATGAGAGAAAATAAAAATATACCCCCCCCTTTTTTTGATCTTACTGTAGCTCCAGCTGACCTAGAACTCACTATGTAGACCAGACTGGCTTTAATCTTACAGAGATCCATCTGCCTCTACCTCCCAAGTGCTAGGATTAAAGGCAGGCACCACTTTAAAAGACCCATATTTATTTTTTAAATTGTAGTAAAATGAAATCTATAACATGCAATTTACCACTTTAACTGTTCTTGTGTCTGGTTTGGTAGCATTAGAACTGTTCACATTCTTGAACAGCTAACATCACCATTCATCTCCAGAACACTTTCATCTTCCCAACCTGAAATTACATGCACGTTTTATAATAATTCTTCACTCCTACCTCCCCAACCCCTCTCAATCACTGCTCTACTTTCTTTTTTAAAAAATATTTATTATCTTTATTTTATGTGTAAAAGTGTATTGCCTGCATGTATGTGAGTGCACCCATGTTGTGCAATGCCGCAGAGGTCAGAAAAGGGCTTTGGATTCTCCTGGAACTGGAGTTAAGGACGGTTCATAGCCACCATGTGGGTGCTGGGAATCGAACCCGGGTTCTCTGCAAGAGCAGTGAGTGCTCTTAACTGCTGAGCTGTCTCTCCAGACCCATGTTCTACTTTCTAACTCATGACTTTGTCTTCCATAGGAACCTTACATGGTGGAATCATACAATATTTATCCTTTAGGGTCTGGCTTATTTCATTTAGCATATACTATTTTTTTAAAGATTTATTTTATTTTTAATTATGTGTAGGTGTGTATCACTGTGTGGGTATGTGTACTTAAGTGCAGGTACCAGAGGAGACCAGAGGCATTGGATCCTTTGGAGTTGGAGTTATAGGCTATTGTGAGCCACCTACCATTAGTGCTGGGAAACAAACTCAGTTTTTCTTTTACAAGAACAATATACTTTCTTAACCCCTAATCTACCTCTCCATCTCCTAGCATAATATTGCTAATTGTATTGTAGTATGTGTCCACATTCCATTCATTTTTGTTTGTTTGTTTATTTTTCTTTTGAGACAGAGTCTCACTCTGTAGTGTGACCTAGAATGTACTATGTAGCCCAGTCTGGCCTCAAACTTGTGGTATCATCCTGCTTCAGTCTCCCAAGTGCTGGGACTATAAGCATAAGCCACCATACCCAGCTTCATTCCTTTTAAGGCATAATATTTCATTGTAGATGTGTACTTCACTAATATACCTTTTTAATCTTTCAATGGATGTTGTGTTGTTTCTAGTTTTTGACTATTCTAAATATTGTTGCAGTGACTACCAGTGAACAGATATCTGTTTAAATTCCTACTTTAAATTTTTTCCAGGACACAGGAGCTAGAGAGATAACTTAGTCAGTAAAGCGCTTGCTATGCAAGCTTGAGGACCTGAGTTCAATCCTATATAAAAAGTTGGGTGTGGTGGCAAGTGCCTATAATCCCAGCACTGGGGAGGTGGAAACAGGTGGACCCCTGGTGCTCACTGGCCAGTCATCTTGGTCGAATTATCCAGCCCCAGATCCCGGCGAGAGACACTGTCTCAAAAAAACAAGGTGGACAAGTACTGAGGTTGAAGGTGCTAGCAGAGTCTTTCCTCATCTTTCCTCCTCTCCTTCTTTTCTAGTGGACTGTGTCAACTCTTGTAACTAGAAAAGGCAATAATCACTGTTTAGTACTGTTCTTATAAGCTACTTTTAAAGTTTTTATTCTCTTCTCCAATTTCTCCAGATTTTCATTCATGTCTCCAGATTTTTTCAAATTACTAAATCCTTAGAGCATAAATTTTTAAGATTGTTTGGACCCACTAATTAATAAGTGGTAGAGTATAAGCTTAGAGTGCCTGAGGCCATGGGTTCAATAACCAACACCATTACCATCTTCATCAGTGAGATGTGAAGGACATCATTATCCTTGAACCAAGAAACTTTTGGAACCTGTCTTAACCGTTTGCTAATAGTCATACACTGTGCTTGACACTGACAATAGAAAGCTAAATCAAACCAAAATTTTATAATTGAGAAGTTGAATGTCTTGGTAGTTAAGTTTCCTGCCCCAGGTTCTAAGCTCCTCAAGGCCAGGGACTTTCTCATTCATTTTGTACTGCCTGATATTCTGCTTGGCCTTTGAGAATATTTCAATAAGTATATAATTTATGCTATGTTTCATGTGTCTTGAATGATTTTCCTGTGTTATCACTGATTTGTTGAATGATGTTGGGTAAATAATGACTTTATTGTGACAGAACAAAATACTTAAAAAATTTTTTTTTTAAATTTTATGTTTTGGCTGCATGTATGCGTGTACCCATGAGTGCAATGCCTGCAAAGGCCAGAAGAGGGCATAAGATCCCCTGGAACTGGAGTTACAGATGGTTGTTAGCTGCCTAGGGGATGCTAGTAACTGAATCCAGGTTCTCTGCAAGAGCAGCCAGTTCCTTTTAACTGCTGATCCATCTCTTCAGCTCCCTAAATCTATAGTTTGACAAAAGTTTAATAGAGCCAAATACAAAAAGGAAAACAATAATTTATTGCAATTTTAATACTTAACTATTAGGATAAATCAGTAAGAATTTCTTCTTCAAAAACTCTGGAAGAGTTGATGATCTAAATCAGGAGCCAAGCCTTTGCTATTAAGGGCCTAACAGTGAACATTTCAGGCTTTGCAGGCTGTACAGCCTTTATCACAGTTACTCAGTTCTTATGATAGCAACCTGAGATAATATGTAAAAAAAAAAGTAACATGGATGTGCCCAATAAAGTTTTATTTACAAAAGCAATGGGCCAGATCTAGCCAAAGGGCCATACTTTGGTGATCCCTGAATCAGATTAAGGTATTTTCACAGAAAATTGTGGTGAACCTCACAGGAGGAGTATGGAGCCACTGAGACTCTTTCATCCTGCCAACAGAGCCACAGCAATTTCACACATTATAATTTTATGAAATTCCTGTAGGAAGCAGAATTTATACTTACAGAGTTAAGCCCATCATTGTAATGAGGAGACTGAGGCAAAGAAGGCCCTGGCTGTCTTGCCATCCAGCATTCTCTTTAGAGTTAGACCAGGCTATTCACTGCTCTCTAAGTAAATCTTAATTCTTTTCCCCATGCACTCTTTTGTGTACTTTGTTTCATCTAAAATGTCTCTCCAGAAAAGAAGATCAAATATTATGTGAAAATTTTATAAAAATATGTCTCCAAAATAGACTTGATTTATAGCATAGGTGATAAATGAGACCCCCCCCCCAAAAAAAAGAATGCTAATGTGTACTTTTTCTCAGCTTTTAGAATGATTCCATATCCATTGGAGAAAGGACATCTATTTTACCCTTACCCCAGCTGCACAGAGACTGCTGATAGAGAGCTATTGCCTAGTAAGTAAATATTTCAATTTTCTTAAACTTAGAAGTAATTGTTTAGATTACTTTTAGATTGGTTTCTGTGTTAGTCACCTTTTTGTCACTATAATGAAATACCTGACACGGGATTTATGAAGAAAGAGATTTATTTAGCTCATAGTTTTGGGAGTTCAGAGTACAAAGGGCAAAGCTCAGGCTGTGTGGTTAGGGCTGCCCCTTAGCAGATTACCCCATGAAATGGATAGCAATGGCAGGAACATGTACGAGAGAGACTGACTTGCTTCTCACAATCCCTTCCAAGAACATACATCCATTGACCCAGGTTATCTCCCAATAGGCCCACCTCATAAAGGCTCCAGTTTCTAATACTGCAACCTGAGGGGCTAAATTTCTACCACATGAATGTTTGAAGTGCCACAACCATAGTAGTCTTTATTTTTTTTAATTTAAATTATACATTTTCATGCATGTATGTGTGTTCATATGTGCCATGACATGTATATGGAGGTCAAAAATTAACTTCTACAACTGGTGGGAGTCAGTTCTTTCTTTTTACCATATAGACCCCAGGGATTGAACTCAAGTTGTAAAGCTTGGAAGCAAGCGCCTTTTCTTGCTGAACCATCTTGCTGGCCCAGTATTCTGTATTTTAAAAGGTCATTTGATTGAAATTTAGGACAGTTTACATACTTTTTTGTTTTGCTTTTCTCCTATGATTTTTTATTGTGTTTTTGTGCAATTCCAGTTTAAATACTTTTAAAGCTATTTCTAGCATGTAGTTGCAATGAAAACACAAAATTTGGAGATACTAAAAGTAGTTTTCATCTTACAAACTTTTTGTGACAGTGCTGGGGGTCAAACCTAAGACCTTATGCATGCTAGGCAAGTGCTTTGCCACTGAGCCTTGTTTTAAGACAGGATCTCCCTACGACTGGGCTTGGATTCATGATCCGCTAGCCTCAGCATCCCAAGTGACTGGGATTACAGGCATGCATCATTATAATCAATATTACAAACATTTTAAAAAGGAAACAATATCAATCCTTTACAAACCCTTCATAAAGATAAAATTTAGAGGGGCTGTACTTCCCAGTTTGAAGAATAAAGAATTAGGAGATGCAGCAGAAGCGTGTGGGTTATGACAGTAGAGAGTGCTTTCTTCTCCACTTTCAGGATTCCAAACTGCACAATGGGGCTCTAGCTCATTAGAACAACACTTGCTGAATATGTGTGAGGCACTAGGTTCAGTCCTTAGCACTGACAAAAGGGAAAAAAGCACAGAACATTTAAAACAATAGTCTGAATTTTACCTTACCTACATTAGCATTTACTCATTTCTTTTCTCTATGAACTTATAGAGTTCTTTTCAACATTTTATGATTTAACTGATAAGCAAGCATACGAAAGGCTATAAACCCTAGAAGCATGTTCCTTACATGATGTATACCTGTGCAACAGTTTTACAAGACTGAGCCATTAGAAGTGAAGTCTAGGAAAGAAAGTTGCAGTTTCACAAATATCAAGCTAAACAAATCAAAAGCTACCTGATTGGACTTAAAGCCCATTCAGTGGGAGGAAACTCATTTCTAGTACTGTAAACCTAGCCAAATACACATAGCTGGAGAAGTCATAAATGTTAGGCTCTCATATCCTTAGACAAATGTAATTTCTTACTATGTGCAAAATATGAATCCTTAAATTTATAGACAAGTATCCCAGTATCCCAGTCATCATCCATCAATGTAGCTTCTTTTTCAACAGACAGAGATTATTACAGAGTCACACTACCGGTCACACACAGAGATTCTCTGTGAATTGCCCAAGTCTAAGTGGCACATTTAGGATGTAACCTCTATACCTAAGACTCACAGAACATAGAACAAGAGATGAAAAGAACACTAATGCATCTTTCAGTTCTCATCAATGAAGCTCCCTCATGCAACAGAGGGCCAGGAACACAAAAGGCCACAAATGGCCAAAATGCAGAGAATAAGAGTCAGCAGAGTGTGGGTCCTTGGACAGGTCTCCTATATTGAGGCCCACCCACTGAGGGCTCAGGAACCATTGCAGAAGAGGGGGCAGAAAGACTGTAAGAGCCAGGGAGGAGGTGCATGACCATACAGAAGTAGTCCTATAGGTGCCAGGGACCCTTCTCATACAAACCTACAGCAATAATGTCAGCATGCACAAGACTCATGCAAGCCTAGGCAGACAAAAACACAGCACAGAATTGTGGAAATGAACAGCAAGACCCAATCTTAGTCAAAGAATTATTGGCAGCTGATTACTACTGGGTGAGGAAGAGCTGGTCTTCTTGAAGGGAGAGACTCTAGATAGGCTGATTAAACCCCAGAGGATGAACTTGCACTGAGGGACATCTCAGGACACTAACTTTGCATAATAGGCCTTAATACAAATGACAGACTGTATGAACTCCAGTGGGGGGGCAGCTATGGGAGGGTATCAAAGGGGAAGGGGGTATAAAGATGATTTTCTGTATGAAATACACAAATTGAATAAAAATTATTAAAAAATACCAAGCTAAATGAGCTGAAAAGGTCAGGTAAATGAATATTTTGGAGAGATTATAAAAAATTAGGGATGCTGGTGTTTTTCTCCTGGGGTCATTGATTTTCTGCCATTTGCTTAAGTAAATGATCTCTTCCTATGCAAAACCCTCAAATGTGGGTGTGTTTCTTATGTTCTGAATTATTTTAAGGTCATAAGATTTAGAAGATCTGATAGGCTAGTGAGGTGGCTCAGTTGGTAAAGTGTTTGCTGTGCAAACATGAGGACCTGAGTTCAGATGATAGTTTATCAGCAAGTATTGTTTAAATTAGTTAAATCATTAATTTATTCCTATAAAGATGCCTGGCGTATTATAATTACTCAAGGAAAATGTTAAATTTTAGTACATTTTCCTCTTATTCTGAACTCTTAGGGTACTTGTGTTCAATAGATTGAGAGATCTGGGACGTTTATAATCCCATCATTGAAGGTGAAGGCAGAAAAATTGAGAGTTTGAAGTCAGCTTGGGATACATAGCAAGTTCCAAGCTGGTCTGAGCTACCCAAGGAAACTCCATTTCAAGATATGTTTGAAGCATATTTGGGGTGTAAGTAGGAGTCAGTTCAAACTAACTTAAACCTAACAGGGATTTATTAGAAGAATGGGAGCCTATCAAAGAACCCCAAAGCAACAATGATGGATAGACCTAATCGAGGATCACCATCAGAATCAAACTGGCCATTGGGGTTTCCAGGAGCCATGTGTCTACAGACTCTGTCTTGGGCTGCCATTTTCAGTCTCTCTTTCTCTCATTTTCTTTTCCCCCTCCCCCTTTGTATGGTTTCTCATTTCTGCTCTTCTCAGTAGGTCTGCTGTATTCTTAAAACCTTCTCTTTACAAATTGGTGTTCCCCTCAAAGACACTCAGTGGCCTAAGTTGATGCCTTTGCAACTTTAATTTACATGTCTTCAGTTCAATCATACAGTACAGGATGAATGATGTCATCACCCTACATTGAAAACTTAAAGATTTCCCTCAGATTCCCTATTGTGTTTATGGGAGGGTGGTATATGTATATGTCCATATGCGTATATACATGTGCTTGTGGAGGCCAGAAGTCAACACTGGGTGTCTTCAGGACGGCTTCTCCACCTTATTTTTTTAGATAGTGTCTTTCATTAAACCTGGAGTTCACTGATTAGACTAGGCTAGTGGCCAGTGAACTCCAGGGATCTGCCTGTCTCTGCCTCCCCAGCTCTGGGATTATAGACTTGTATCACCTGACTTTTATGTGGGTACTGGGAATCTGGACTCGAGTCCTCATACTTGCACAGCAAGCACTTTACTGACTAAGCCATCTCCCCAGCCCTTCAGATTTCCTAGATATTTTTAAAAATTTTTATATTTTATTAGGCTGGGTGTGGTGGCATTCGCCTTTAATCCCAGCACTTGGGAGGCAGAGGCTGTCTTTGTGAGTTCAAGGCCAGCCTGGTCTACATAGCGAGTTCCAGGACAGCTGGGGCTACAAGGAAACCCTGTCTCAAAAAGACAAAAAAATTTTTTTTATATTTTATTACTTTTCTTTTATGTGTATGAGTGTATTGCCTGCATGTAGGTAGGTACACATGTGTCATTCAATGCCATTCAATGAGATCAGAAGAAGGCACCAGATCTCCTGGAACTGGAGTTACGGACAGTTGTTAGCTGCCATATAGGTGCTGGGAATCCAACCCAGGTCCTCTGCAAGACCAGCCAGTGCTCTTAACTGCTGAGCCATCTTTCCAGCCCGATCTCCCAGATCTTAAAATCTGTGTAAAATTCATAGCTAGTCTATTTTGCTGTGTCCTAGAAACAAGATCAGGTTATTTGAATAAAATTGCCAGAGGCCCTGATGTCTTTCTCTGTGTCTCACAAGAGACTAGAGAATCATCATTTTCTACCAAATCAATTACAAGGATGGAATTACAGAGGGGAATTGTATGGTATGAGGAGTGACCTAAGGGGTGAAATAAGGGAACACAAAAATTTCTAAGCAACTTATGAGAAGAAAACAGTTGAAGGTTTAATGAAAGAGCAGTTAGAGGCAAGACCTAGATATCCTAGAAACTAAAGGAGAAGAAGTCTCCCCGAGTGTAGGAGTATCTGGAATACTAGGTAGGGCAGTTACTGAGGAGAGCCTATTGATTTTGGCAGTTAGAAAGTCATTGGTAAGAGAGAAATTTCATTTGCCTTCTTAGGGTGGAGGGAACAGTACATTTTTCTAGCTATTATTTTTCTATTTAAAAAGAAACAAATATTTTTGAGGCCAAAAATTGTTTTAAAATCAGTTAGTATGCAAGTGTATTATACCTGGGTGTGTTAGCTGTAATCCTAGATTTTGGGAGGCTGAGGCAGGAGGACTATGAGTTTAAGGCTAGCCTGAGCTATACATAGCAAGGCCTTGTCTCAAAAAAACCAAAATGAAATAATAAAAATAAAAGAATTTTTATTATATTAGAATAATACTAATACTAGACTGAAATAATGTCCTCCTTTATAAATTGTTACTAATTAAAGGTCAGTTTGCATATTAGTATTTCTTTTGTCAGAGTTAGAAGCTACAAGATCAAACAGGTTTTTCCTTATTTGCTGTTTGTTTGACAAGTCCTATTAAGTCTAAACTCCATCCAGGGTGCAAGCTCTAGGAAGTAAAGAGATGTACTAGAGGGTTTTGTTTGATTGTAGTATATTTTCTTACAGTCTATTTTTCTGTTTCTGACTGTGGTAAAATGAACAGATTTTTAATAATGTGGAGTTCTAATACCCAGGAGTACTTAATGGTTTTTGTTTTTAATTCTCCTTCAGCCTTGATATGACTTACAGCATTCTGGAATTTGCTTATGGACCTCATAAGTTCAGACTTGAACTATTCCCCCTAGTTCACATAGCTGTTTTGTCGTCTTTTATGCCTCCTGATAAATTTTTCTTTACAAGCCAGTGATGAAATTTGAACTTTCGTTCCAAGGGAGTGTTTCTGCACTAGTCAGTCATCCATTATATTGATGTATTAGCCAAACATTGACTGACAAATGAAGCTACAGAAAGCAATCCAAAAAGAAATAATTAGGTCTCTCCTACAATACAAAAGCCTCATATTTTAGGAAGTTTTCTATCTTATAAAATGAAAATAATACTACTATATCTTAGCATAATTTAAAAATAAAATGAGAACTTTATAGACCACAAAGTGCTATAATGTTTAACTAATATTAATTTTGCTGTTATAATCTCTGCCTTCTGAAAAGCCAGAGTTTGTTTCTCTTGGTTGGTCTTTTGGTATATGTAGACCAAAACCAAATTCATTTTTAAAATCCAGATTTCCAAAGCCTTGAGCTATGTTTAAAGTAGATGCATAATAGAACTGAACTTTTTAAAAGTTAAGCACATTAGAAACTGTAGACAACATTGTTCTTTCAGCACATGAAGAACCAGCAATCCCTTTTGCCCTATCCCTCATCCATGAGAGGCTGACTTCTTCCAGCACACCAAGAGAAACAAACTCTTTCTAGCTATTGAAGAAAACTTGAGTATAACCTCTGTTAATCATTGTGTTTTAAAAAAGTAAAATTTATAGCTGACCTTGGTTCAGCATGGAATTAGTCATCCCTTATTAATGCAGGATATTACATCAGGAATTCCTGGGTTGGTGTCTAGCCCTGAGCAGTCAACTTCCTGGACTAGTGAAGTTTCAAATAGCTCTCAGCTTAATGGAAATTTATTGAGCACCTACTGTGCGTTGGGCACTGTAACAGGCTGAGCTGTGAATTATTCAAGTACTTCCAATTTAAAAATTATAAGCACTTGAATAAAATTGGTAACGAAACCTGCAATCACTAGAAAATAATACTTGAATATGTAAATGTGATAAAATAAGGCAGAAACTTCATTTATGGCTAGAATCTGAGAGCTTTGGTTTTTCTAGTTCAGTTTTTATAGCACCTAATGAAATGTCATATGTAGGACATAGTAATAACTGGGTAAAATTATTAATGGGGAAAATTCCCATGGTGTCTTATCTCTTTATCTCTACACTACTCTCTGAGGTTTCAAAGAGCAAGAATTAATAACAGCTCACATTTATTAAATGTTTACACTGTTCATCACAACTCCATAGCAACTTCTATGGGGTTTAGCACACAACTAATAAGTGACAAAGTTCTTTTTCAAAACCACCTCAGCATGACTTTATAATCAGTGTTTTTTTCCCACGATACCATCCTGTTCCCAGACCCTAGTACAGTCATCTGACTATTCAGATTGGCTGGATAGCTTCCTTTTTGCCTTGCTTGTCTCTGATCTTGTTACTTTTCTTTAACAATATTTTAAATTGTCAAGTTAGATTTAATTTTAAAATATTAAGATTAGTTTATACTGAAATAAAATTCACTCATACCTCTTCTCCCTTGCAGCCTTCCATCATGTTTCTGTTTATCCAAAGAAGGAGCTTCCTTTTTTCATCCACTTTACAGCAGGACTCTGTTCTTCTACAGCAATGATAGCGTTTCTCACACATCAGTTTCCTGAAGTCATGGGTGTTTTTGCTAAAGCTGTGAGTATGATCTCAAGGACTTGTGTGGAGTATTTATAAAACATCACAGGAAACCATCTCTGATCTGTCTGTGCTAACCCACATGAGCAGTGAAAGATATTTGTTACAGTAAATGGCAGGAATTGACTTGTAAAGCTACTACCATAAATATGTCAAACATGAGTTTTTGATGATGTGAACCTACTTCTGTTGCTTAAAAGTCTAAGAAATACAATGCTATAACATTATAATGTTGGCCTTTGTAATTACTTTTGATGATTAATACAGCATTCATTACCAACTAGAGAATAATCCAATTCTTCCTTACCATTAGTGTATTTTCTTCAGTATGTAAAATGTTTACTAATTTTGTAAACAACCCTTTTGATTTTTCCATTTAAATGAAATCATCAGTTCAGAACATTTGCAGATTTTTAACTCGAGTGAAACAAAGATGCAAAATAACTAGTAAGATGGACAAATGGGGCTTTTACCCTGGGTACACATGGAATGTGCTTCTAGGCTCTAAGGTTCTCCTAGTTATTCTGCCTCTATGTTTTTATTGATCTTCTCCAGTCTTGAGTCTAGAGCTATGTGTAGGCTTTTGTTTAATTTTAGTCCTTCAACTTTGAACTACTTCCACATTTCTTGACTTAGGACTGATATTTAAAAGGGTATCCCTATTCATTCTGCGACATAAACTTATTAATGTCACCAAAGACACTTTCCTTTGTCTTTTAAAAAAATGCTTATTTCGCTGGGCTTAGTGGTGCATGCCTTTAATCCCCCCAGCACTTGGGAGGCAGAGGCAGGCGTATCTGTATGAGTTTGAGGCCAGCCTGGTCTACATAGCAAATTCCAGGAAAGCTGGGGCTACAGGGAGACCCTGTCTCAAAAATACCAAAAAAAAAAAAAAAAATCTTATTTCTTGGGCTCGGGCAAGATGACTCAGGGGGGAAAATACTTTCCACCACGCCTAAAAATACCAAAAAAAAAAAAAAAAAGCTTATTTCTTGGGTGCTGGCAAGATGACTAGGTGGGTAAAGCACTTGCCACCAAGCCTAGCAACCTGAATTTAACCATTGGAACCCATGTCATGGTGGAAGGTGAGGACCAACTCCATAGAGTTGTTCTCTGACCTTCACATGCATGCTATGGTATGCACACCTCTTCCCTATCATGCAAACACCCACAACAATAATAAATCAAAGTAAATGAATGAATAAAATGCATATTTCTTGTACATCTTGGTATTTTCACCAGGTAACAAGTGAAAACCCAAAAGAAAATGCTATTTCATCATATCCTGAAGTATAAAATATACACTAGAATCAGAAAAACTCGTCCTTACTGGCACTGTGTTTTCTATATTTTTCTCTATGAGCTTCCATTCTAACTTCCTGTTTTCCCTAGTTTTTTTTACTGCCATAAGAATAGTTTGTTTTGTGCCTTACAAATTAGTTGGCTCTTGCCTGGCACCAATACTCAGAACACTAGTTCCTTTTTTCCCCTGAAGGTCTACCGTACAATGTGTCAAGATGCCACTGGTAGTACAGCTAAGAATCTGAGTATACGTTTGATTTTGAGTCACGCTTCATAAAGAATAACTTTCTACTGTTGTTTATGGAGTATAGATATGTGGGTTACAAAGTGGCTATTCTATTTCTTCTTAGTTTAAAAAAGAAAGCTTAGCTTAGTCATTGATTTTACTACAGCTCTGTTGTTTGCAGTGGTGCTGATTGGGGAGTGAGTGCCTCTTAAAGTGTAATGACCTCACTGTGTGATCTGGCACAGAAAAAAAAAAATTAACTAGAAAGGAAATTCCTTCCATTTAAAAGCTAGAGAAGAGGAAGAAAAGAAAAAAAAAGCAAACCAAAACCTCCTCACGTAACTATATTTTAAAAGATACAGGGAGGCAATGAGAGAGATAGTTCTTGGTGGTTTTTGTTTGTTTGTTTGTTTGCTTTTTGTTTTTCCCTCCAAGGCAATGGAGTGGAAAGGAAGAGAAATAGAGCAGTAGAGGAAGGAGAGAAACCTAGATCTGGAATAGCGGTGGAGCAACTGTTATAGCATATTTCCTTAAAGTTCCGGCTAAAACGAGTGGGCTGTACGCGTATTCTCTATCCATCAATGTTCATGTAGTGACTGCTGTTACTGAAGAGGTCACTAATGGCACCAGAAGAGCCTTTGAGATTATATAGTATTAGTTCCTTAGCACTCTTAATAGAGTCTTGAGAATGAAGAATTGCATATTTTAAAGTAGAAGTTTCTTTGTTAGATCAAAAGTTACTAATATATCATGATTCTAGTTGATTAACAATAAACAAACATTTATCTCTACTATCTTTTATTTGTACAGTTGGTGATATGTACTGTTCAAAATGTTGTTGATAGTGAACTTTTATAGCTATATTTTTTCCATATGGCCTTACATGTGTATTTGAAATTCCTAAAGGCCAAGAACTTACTACTGATGGGACTTTAAAAATCAATATTTGACAGGCAGCAGTTCTAAAGGTTGGTCCCATTTAAGAATTAATGGGAAATGATTATGACTGAGTAGTCTCTGGCTTATAAACACAACACATAAAGGCCTTGACAGGCAAGCAAGCAGGAAGGAATAGCGGTTCATATCTACTTCTTTCCTACTTCATCAAATGTGGTCCATGCACTAGAAACACCCTCTAGAAGCTTGTTAAAATGTACAGCCTCAGGTATCACTGCAGACCTGCCGAAGCAGAATCTTCTTAACAAGACCCCTAGCCTATCCCACATGCACATTTAGAGCTCCAGAAGCTTTTCTCTACTCTCTCCCACCAATGTGAGGAATTTGGAACACCAAGATAGTACAGCCTTATCAAAGTGGAGAAGGGGCAGCATTGCAGAATGGTTATGAACACAGACTCTAGAGCCAAACTGCTTTGCTTTGATCCCAGCCCTGACATTTAGTGTCTATGCAGCCTCTAACCGGAATTGTGAAGTGAGAAATAGTATTGAATAGGTTTTGGTGAGGGATAAACGAGTTTAACAGTGTTTAGAACTGTTTGTCCACAGTAAAAAGTTAGTGAATGTTGTTCCATCATCATCATCATCATCACCACCACTAAAGAGAGCCTAGAGTGGGAAACCATACCTCTTTGCAGTTGAAGGATAATAATAAGCTCAAAATGAATTATCCCACAGAAACTTAAGTGTTAATGATGGATGAATGTCATTTAAACATTTAGAACTGTACCATTGGTACATTATGTGTGTGTAAACCACAAAAAGAGGATCTTTATTTCAAATTCCTGGTACTAGCAAACTGCCTTGTAGAACAGAACCCACTGGCAAGTTGTAAACTATGTAAGGGTTTCAAGTATGTCAGATGTGCAATGACCATATAAATAGAAATTGATGAAATAGACTTGTCTTATTCTAACTAAGGCAAAGCCATGTTATTATTTCTTCTTCCTCCTCCCCCATTCCTCTTTTTCCTGCTTCTTTCTGATTTTTGTCTGTTTGGTTTTTGAGACAGGGTGTCCCTGTAGCCCCAGCTGGCCTGAATATATCACTGTGGTAAACCAAGCTAGCCTTGATCTCACTGAGATTCACCTGCCTCTGCCTCCTGGGTACTAAGAGGCATGTGCCACCATGCCGAGTTCTTTCTTCTTCTTCTTTTGTTGTTGTTTTTCTGAGATGGGTCTGACAATTTACCCAGGCTGGTCTCAAATTCATGGGCTCAATGATCCTCATGCTTCAGCCTTCAGAGTGGCTTGGCCTATAGATTTCTTTGTTATTATCATTTTATCTCTTTTCCATAGTATCTCTTTGTAGTAGCTCACAAATTAGAGACAATTCTTCCTCAATTTCTTAAAATATGCTGTTACAAAAATATGTTTTTATGATGCCAGGTATTGGAAATGAATAATTTGGGGTATTTTGTTTTTGTTTTTGTTTTGTGATAAGGTCCCATGTGGCCCAGGCAGCCTGGAACTCACTATGTAGTTGAGGATGACTTTGAAATCCTAGTCTTCCTGCCTCTATCTACCTCCCATGTCTGGTTTATGTGGTGCTGGAGATGGAACCCAGGGCTTCATATATGCTAGGCAAGTAGTGTACAAACCAAGATACATTCCCAGGCCTGAGGTTAATGATTCTTAAGAATTCTTACTGTATACCAAATTTAAATTAATGGAAGGGAATTAATGAACTAGAATGAGCATTGGTTTTAGTATCCCTCCCCCTTTTCATAGTATAAAAATACACAGAATAACACTTAGTTTTAAGCAAGTTAGAATCCCTCCCCCTGGTTTTTCTCCTGGCTAAGATGAAAACCTAGTCTGACATTAGACATAGAGCAATGAAAAAGTTGCATAAATCCCTGGAGATGTGGAATGTACTGATACCAGAGCTGATATTCTCCCAGGCCAGAATTCCTGAAAAAGGAAAAATTTCTTTTAAGTGGTAGGTCATTTTCTCACCTACTTTGAAGCCTGCTGGGTTAAATATGAGGGTTCAAAGTAAGGGTAGCCAGCAAACCAACTGAACAGGAATCTGATTCTGCTTATCTGAAAGGAGCGTCTTTATTCAAGAGCAGTGCTGTCTCTCCTTAGAGAACCAAGCTTCATCTACTTTGGCCCCTTTTAGTTCTCTTCTGCAGAAAGAACTTTCTTCTTAGTAAGGCTTGGAGGGTGTTATCACAAAAGATGTCTTTGGGGATTTCATTAAGTTACTGGTGAATTCAGTCTTGAGGCTTATGGCTTTAGTGCTTTGCCTTGAGAAATGTGTTTGAATGCCGAAGTCTCTATTGGGTTTTAACTAAATAGGACAGTCTCTGCAATGTTGGCAGCAAAAGATAGTAGGGTTAAGATGAGAGTCAAAAAGATTCCCAAATATATTGTTTTACAAAGACAAAACTTTGTTGAGTTTTGCTGAACATGCATTGTAGCTATGCTGGGGTGGGAACCGGCCTTGTTTCCACATATTTCTACTAATCTTTATGTGGGAAAATGTAGTTGGACATACCAGTGACGAATTTCAGAAAAACTCATAATTGGCTGGCTCCACTGTAACTAGGGCCTTACAATCTCCTTGATTAATTCTTTAAGGACTACATTAGCCAAGTTGCATGATTTCCAAAGATATAGAAGGTTAGATGTTACACTAACAAAGGATCTTTCCACAGAATGCCTCACTGGGGTTTCTTCAGGCCCTTCCTAAAAATTAGATTTTTTCTAACCAAATTACAGTTTTTTAAAAAAATAATAAGCACATATAAATGTCAAATATCTTTTGCTGAATAGTAAGGAAAACTTTTGGGAA